TTGGAGTTTGGAAGCCAGAGAAGAAGTTATGCTCGGAGCGCGGCAGCAGCGCCCTGCAGGGAGATCTGAGCCAGGGCATGGTAAGGCTGGGAGGCATGCTTGCTGGGGGCGGAACAGGCACTCGTGCAACCCCCCTCTCCAGCTGGGCAGAGCTCCATGCACTGACCTAGGGGGTATCCCTAATGTGCCAAGCCACGAGAGCTGGGGCCTGGGCAAAGTGCCAGGTGGCTTGGTGCCTTAGGGATACCCCCTAGGTCAGTGAATGGCACTCTGCCCGGCTGGAGAGAGGGTTTGCTGGGCGGCTGCTCATGAACATGGTCACCTCATGGCTGCTTCGCCCATGAGGCTGTGCCCGGCTCTTTGGGAGCCCGCTCGCAAGGAAGCAGCTGCCCGGCAACCCCAAAACAATAAGCCCTCCCTTATAATAAGCCCAAGGCCATATTTCGTGGGACAAAAAAAAATAAGACCCTGTCTTATTTTCGGGGAAACGCGCTATTTTGTTGTGTAAATTCCATGTGGTTCCCAGTTAAACAACTGAATGCTGTACCAATTTGAGATGTAAAATTTTTTTACAGGATGATCACCTGCCCCCGCTCCCTTAAGGAGGACCGATAAACAGCAGCAATGGAATGTTAAACTCATAATAAATAATTCACGTCTCACATTAAAAAAAAATACAAGAAAAAGGATTAAATTTGCTCTCCTTGTGTTTCAGAAATCCATTAGCTTATAATCCTTCCACAATATCAGAAAAGACCTTCATTTGAAGTTTACCATTGAAAGATTGTTATTTAGAGACAATGAAAAACAAAAAAAGAAGAAGGAAGGAAGGAATAATACAAATGTAGAGCTTTTCCTATTATGTACTCATGACAAAAACAGTAAGGAATCTTCTCAACAGGCGGGTAACCAAGTTCTCAAATTCTACTCAGGAAGTTTTAATGCCATTACTTCATTCTTCATTTTGAAGTACTGATTGAAGCGAACAACTGCATACCTATGTGAGCAAACAAAAGCATTCGGTGAAATATGATTTTGGGTCCAGTTTTCAACAAATCACAATATTTAACTTTTATACCCACTTATTTTTAGTTTTTCCTGCCATCTAGTGGTTATGTAATGCTTTTGTAAAAATTGCCAGAGATATGCAGCTTTTCCAACTTTTTAAAATATATATGGGCCAGATTATATGATATGGATAGCAGATTAAAGTTATATTTCCACAGACATTTCAACCTAATCCCAGGTCAATTTGATTAGCAAATCTAACCCATTCAGCATTTATGTTTTGATTTTATGTATCCAAATATCTTGGTATTTATAACCGGCGTGCTTACCCAGCCTTAATAAGATTAGGATTATGGTTCCGGTAAGCAAGGCATATATCTGGGGCTATATGTTGGGACTTCAATTCCCATGTCACTTCAGCCAATGCGGTACATAATCATGCTGGAGTATTATGGAAATTCAAATAACACATCTAAGGGATACCAGGTTAGGAAAGGTTGATGCACTGGATTTACAGAAAAAAGAAGCATGAAAATTGGACAATTCTCGCTCTCTTTAATCTATTTAAATTAATTTAATTCAAAATGATTTAAATTAGACTCTACTTGCTCAGTTATAATGGGTTTTTAAACATTTTAAAAGTTAATTTGGTTGAGCTGCAATTCTCTGAGAGGGGTTAAAAATAGTTTGTATTCATAAATCATTAGCCCTTGATCACAAGCAGCTATTCATCAAACTCTTGAATAAATGAAATTTTAATACTTTTAATCAAAGAAGCAGCTCTTTGTGTTTATGCTTTACTATTTTACTTTTACATAAATGAATATCCTGACAAAAAAATTGTATCAACAAAAATCTATTTCACAGTCAGTTATGGTTATTTCAAATTTAAAGATCTGTATCTTAAATCAAGAAATGTTTTAAAAAAATATTACTTGAAAGATGAAGCCAATTATTTTTAATATACAATCCTATGATTACAGAATATTTTATGTATCTAACGTAAGGTGACTCTGTTAATTACTTACCCTAGAAAATCAAAGTCAATAGTGGAGTATTTGGCTTGAATTAGGGCCCACAATCCCCAGAAGAAATGAGAGGCCTGCAGAGGAAGACAAATAACCCTGATCAGTAAAATTAGTCAGAATGGTTTTGTTTTCAGAGGCTACTTAGAAAAAGCAATGTAAAATAATGAATGCTCATACTATGATACCAGTTTTCCCCAAATTCGATTCGCACAACCTCAAATTCTGAAGGCTCTAATTGTACTATACTTTTGTTTCCTTTGAAGTATTTAAGACTTCTACAAAGAAAAAAAATACAATATCATATAATTTAATGGAAATGTTAACAAAAACATCTATTTTATCTCTCTATCATTTGACATGAAGAGCTTCCAGTGTAATTTTCAATATCAAACCACAATTTAACAGATATGGTTAATGAGTTTTAAACACATTATCACAACAATGAAAATTTTCTGAAAACTTAAAACTGAAGAGGCATATTTCCATTAGTTCGTTGTACGGGTATACTGTGTATATATGTACAATAACAATAAAGTATTCTTATTCTTAAATATTAAGGCTGCAATATCTAACATCCAAAATACGTTTTGAAAGATACCAAATCTCCCTTATATACACAGTTGATGTATTTCTGTTTTTATCACCTTATTTCATAGTTGCTTGATAACAGTTCCTGTTTTTTCTATATTACCCTATTGTGTGATACCTCAAACACAAAAGACAACTTAATTCAAATTTGTTCACATGTAACTTGCAAATTAGATCTTACACATTAATAATCTGAAGTGGCAACATGACACACACTAAGGCAATATCACAATAACCCATTTTATGAAGCAAAGATTTTACAGGTAATATACTAAATAGTCCCATTCAATTCTACAATCTAACCTGAAAGTTCTTATAAAATTTGTAGTGCAAAAATCAAAGAATATATACACACAGAAATGTACATTTTAGACATACAGTCAATAAACTGTATTTTATGAAAAATATTTTTAGCCAAGTAGTTTATTAAAGTCACATGTAAGCATTAGGACTCGCACAAGTAGAGTGGTTAAAATTTCGTGAACCTTCTTGAAGTTTTAATATTTTTCCATAAATGCCACCTAAAATATGAACTGTTCTCCAAACAAATCCTAAAACTAGAGACAACCCAATTAAACAGAAGACTCAAAAAAACATTATATTTGTTCATTTCTTTATTGAAGAAAATCATCTAAAGTTACATATCGGGGGGGGGGGAAAACATATGTGAACTTCTACAATTATCAGTTTATTTGAATGGGAAATTACAGCCAAGTGTTTCAATCTAAGGGGGATAATCAGGTGCCAAGTATGGAAGATTCTGCCTTATTGGTGGAATTAGAGGCAGTACCTTACCTGCTCAGGGCTGGGAAGGACCAGGCCTGGCATGGCTTGGTTTGGCTGATGATCAGTAACATTTGCTTAACAAAATTTACATTTATTGCGATCACTAGATCATGTGTTCATGTGACATCTTATTCAGTGGTGGGGTTCAAATAATTTAACAACCGGTTCTCTGCCCTAATGATTTCTTCCAACAACCAGTTCACCAAACTGCTCAGAAAGTTAACAACCTTTTCTCCTGAAATGGTGCGAACTGGCGGAATCCCACCACTGGTCTTATTTTATGAATGCATTGTTGGTGACCAAAATTCCAGCCCAACTGTGGTTGTTGAGGACTGAGACTACAAAAGTTATGTTAAAGGGCCCAAAGAAGGAAGTTCATTCAAGGAAGTCGAAGCTGCTCTGTAAGGAGGAATGGCCTAAATTCTTCTAAGATGATGTCCAATTTGATCAACAGACATTGTAAATGTTTAATTGCAGTTATTGCTACCCAAACTGCTACATCACTTACTGAAAACAAAAGCTTTTGCCCCAACAAACATGTAGCTTTCATCGTTTCAAATAAATAAGTGAATAAATTTGATGTTTTTGATGGATTTAATTGGATTCCTTTTGCCTACTTTTAAGGCCCGTGTGGAGAAGATATCATATTTTAGGTCATATTGATACAGAAATATTGAAAATTCAAACAGGTTCACAAACTCCTAAGCAGCTCTGCATGCTAGCACTAGTAAGTCATCTTCCCTAGGAGTATCTGCATCCTTTGGAAGGCCTACGCAGCCATTCTGCTGCAAGCTTGGGCACACTCAGCCACTTTGCTAGTGACTCAACTGCTCAGATGGGGCCAGCCTTCAAAGTAGCTATGTGAGTCGCGAAAAGGAGGGATTACCTCTTGAAGAGAGGTCATTTGTTTCTTTAACGCATTACGTAGAGCACCTCTTTAAGACACTTTGTAAAGCCTTCATAAATGTAAGGCAAGATGTATTTCTAACAATAAAACCGCTTTCAAGTAGCAGAAGATATTCAAGCACTTCCTGGTATAGGGAAGTGGCCTTATTCCTACAACACTTTACATTACTAGCTATTTTTAAGTGAGTTTGCTATCTTGAGAGCTATAGCATTTTGTGCCATATTTTATTTCATGCTATATTTCAGTAGGAATTGTAAGGCAGTCTTTGATTTACAACAATGTGTTCAGTGACCATTCGAAGTTACAGCAACACTGACAAAAGGGACTGTTTTTCACACGTATGACCAGCATCCCCGTGGTCACATGATCAAAACTTATGCTTGGCATAGCAAAACGGTTTTGTGCCATAGNTATTTGTGCTGATAAATAAATAAAGGGAGACTAGTATAGATCTATTTCAAGCTATTTAGCTCTCATGAGCTAGCCATACCCTTACTGGGATTCAAACCTGGGCTATGTTACATATTAGGCAGATGTGTTAACCACTAAGCCACAGGCTCTGATCTGTTATCAGCTGAGCCAGGGAGAAAGGTATATATTTAAAGTCACAACTTTAACATAATATGTAATATAGCCCAGGTTCGAATCCCAGTAAGGGTATGGCTAGCTGATGAGCGCTAAATAGCTTGAAATAGATCTATACTAGTCTATTTATTTATCAGCACAAATACTACACACACACACACACACGTGTGTGTGTGTGTGTGTGTATGTGTATGCATATATATATATATATACACACAATTATATATATATAATTTACAAATACACACAAATACAACACACACACACAACCAGTGTTTTCTGAAGACTCTTTCCATGAGCATGTGGCCGGCATGACTATATGCCAAGGTGCATGGAAGAGTTACCTTCCCACCGAACTGGTACTTGCATTTGCATGCTAGGTTGGCAGGAGCTGGGGCAAGAACAAATGCTCACCCCATCATATGGTGTTTGGGTCTTGAACTGCCAACTTTCCAGTTGACAAGCCTAGCGCCTTAACCTCTTGGCAACTTTTAAGACTTGTGAACTTCAACTCCCAGAATTCCTCAGCCAGCTGATGGCTGAGGAATTCTGGGAACTGAAGTCCACAAGTCTTAAAGTGCCAAGGTTGGAGACCCCTGCTCTATACCCCCATGCCTAGTGGTGTCATGTCTTTTCCCACGAGAAGACATTCTTTAGTTGAAGTTGAACCTTGAAGTTCTGAGCTACTGTTTTTCTTCCCAGGAAGCAGTTGAGCAAAGTATAATAATCAGACAAGGTTTGAGTTGTTTTAGGCAAATAAAAGCCTACTAATGAAGATGTTGTTTGATACAAATGTGAGACATCGATTTAATATTTGCTTATGGGGGGGAGGGGAAGAGGTGCTACCAATATTTTAATCTGGATTTTCATATCAGAAATATACTTAAAAGCTCACTAGTAAGCATGATTCATTTTTTCTGATATTAAAAATAACCAACAGAGGAGGATTTAGGGGCCAGTGTTTGAGTTAAGGTGTTAATTTATTTCCGAACTGAAACTCTAATCTTGAAAAAGATTCAGAAGTCAGGAAATGGTTGATTCTGAGAAACTTTCTTTTCCCCCAAAAAGTTATGAAAAGTAAAACAACTGAAATGCAGTTAAAAACCAGCTTTATTGTTACAACCAATTTTGAATTATTTACATAATATAAATCTCTTTGCAAGATACATTCCTTCATTGAAATCAATGATAAAAGGCCTTAATATAGAGCTTCAACAATGCTTAGCTAAAAAAAAATTCACTCCAGTACAAGCCAATGAACAGAAAAGCACAATTTTTAGTTCCATTCATAACATACAGATTAGGGATTTTTCCTCTCCCTTTCATTGGACAGGCAACCCTTCACAGGACAAGACTGACTCAACAAACAAAAGATTTAAAATGCAAGGAGAGAAAGGAGAGCCAAAGGGGTGGTCTACTCCTATATGATGTTGTTGTTGTTGTCGTTGTCACACATGGATGCTCAGCCTCAAGAAATGAATCCGTGTAAATGCAAAAAAATTTAATTGCCCCAAGATGTTAAAAAAAAATATTTTATCCCGCTGACACAATTCACAATGAAAGATAAGGCTTCTTACACAACTAGGATCCACCTCTGAAAATAAACAGGATATAGGCATTTATCAGAAACACAAGGAATTTTAACCGTACTGAAATTAATTAAGCCCGGCAGTAACGTTGCCAAGCTATCCTTGTGACTGATATTTTAAATCGGCATTTTCACAGTGGAGCCACTGAGTTTGCTGGTCTGCGTTAGTATTTGTCTTCAAACTACTGAGAATTGCTTTTGCTGTCATTTAGAATTTATACAGCACTTTCCGGCAGCAAAGGCTTACAATTCATTTAAGTGCTTATCTATTATCTCAATCAATCTATTAATTAGCACTTACAGTATGGAGATGGAAAGCCACCATGCTTCAACTGGGTTTCAGGATGTTGTCAAAATGGCAGGCTCCCCCAAAAAGCTTTAATTTTTTTTTTTTAATATTCTAAAACAACACAAATATCAATTCATCATTTAAAGCACACCGGATATCAATGTAGTCTACTATATGAAGATCTTATATAACAATATTTCAATAGCAAAACCAAAGTAAGGGTCTTCTTCTTTAGAGACTGGGCAGGGGAATTTTTTTTTTAACTTTGCTGGAGAAAATTGCCAAAATCAGAATTTGTTTTCTGCTAATTTATTTCAAATAGGCAGGGACT